ATAAGACGACAAATTTATGATAAAAAAATTTTTTTTCCTTTTTCTTCTCGAACATAAAAAATTAAAATTTTTAAGATTATGAAAAAAAAAGGGGGAGGGGGGCAACTCCTGAGAAAAATCTTAAACATAGAAAAAGAAAAAATTATCATTATTATTATTATTATAAATATGATAATTGCAAAATCTTATCTAATTTCAACAAGGAACGCGGTTATAAAAAAAAAAAAAAAAAAAAACTTCCAAGAAGTAACCGCAAACGACTTTTAATAATAATAATAATAATAAACATTAAGATTATGTTGTGGGGGACGATGGCCGACACATTCTTGGAAAAAGTTTACAAATAAAAAAAAAAATGAACGCAAAGATAATCTTTCAATGAAAAAATCAGGTTTGGACCTGAAATTGTAACTTTGGCGAACAAATACAAAAATTTTTCGTGCGTAAAAAATTAATAATAATAATAATAATAATAATAAAACCATTTTTTACCCCGTGATTTTTTTTTTTTGTTAATAATGACAAGGACAATATTATTATATAAATATATATTGTGGTTACAAAGGTAAATAAAAATTGTTATACGTGTCACCAGATGGTGGGTGTGTGGGTGCGTGCGTGCGTTCGTGCATGCGTATACACATGATAATAATAATAATAATAATATATTTACCTTGAGTGGTTATAGGTTGGACTATTGGAGGCACAAAACCTGCTTCGTTTTGATGCGGTTCGTTTCTTTCTGTTTCTCTCGTTAATTCAATAAAAGTTTGCTCAATATTACGCAACGTCGTCGGTGTTAATGTGGGTGTAGTTCTTGTTGGAACTCCAGTATGGACTCCGTCGAAACTGGTAAACTAAAATAAAAAAAATAAAATAAAAATTATTTCACAATGATTCTATCTATACATCTCGTCATTGAACATCATCGAAATCGATAAATCAATAAATTATTAAAAAAAATAAAATAAATAAATCCGTTTAAATTCATTTTTACGTTAAAAATCTAATAATAAATTTTTATTTTTTTTTTTTTTTTAGACGCAAAAACATTCCCAGCGAACAAAAAAAAACAAACAATAATTTATAAATATATTTATAAACGTTAACACACAACCGATTAACAACAACAATAATAATAATAATAAAGTTAATACTAATTAAAATATCCCTGATAAAACCAAAAATCGGGAGTAAAAAAATAATTACAATCCACATTATCCATTTTTAATTTGATATTCGATTCGATATATAATATTTATATTAATATATTTATTTTAAAAAAAAAAATATAAATATATATATAATTTCGTTCGTTCGATTTTTCGAGAAAAAAAAATTTTAATATATATATATTATTCGTTTTTTTTTTTACATTAAGGAAAAGATATACACGCACACATACATACAAAGCCGGCAAAGCTTTCTCTCTCTCTCTCCCCGACTTTTTTTTTGCCAACTTAACTTTTCTCGTTCCCGACCCTAACTAATTTTTTTTTTTTTATTTAGATGACTAAACAGAATGTATTTAAAAATAATATGCCAAAATCCGAGCCAAAAAAAAAAAAAAAAAAAAAGAAAAAAATAGAACAATTTTATTCTCACTTCCACCTTTCCACACGCGAATTTTAAAACTGAATAACAGATTTATTATTATTATTATTTTAAAAAATTAATTTTTTTTTTTCAGGTATTTTGTTTACGTTTTTCAAAAAAAAAAAAAAAAGGTTATAGCCCTTTTAGGGGGGAAGGGAAAATCAAAAGGGATGATGATGTGATGATGATTCATCATTGTTTTTATACTATTTATAAACAAATAAAAGATTTTTTTTTTGTTAAAATTTTGTCCATTTTTTTATTGACTTATTATAATAGAAAAATATAATACCACCACCACTACAACATATAATAGATGGTAATAATAATGATGATGATAAATTACCCTTGAAAAACGAATACGATAGAAATAAAACGCATAAGAGTTTATTTACTTTCAAATACTCATTAATTATTATTATTATTTTTTATTTTAAATATTTCCATAACCTAAAAATTTTCCATAAATAAAATCAAAAAAAAAATAAAATAAAATAAAATTATACGCTTATGATATTTTAATTTAAAATAAATATAAAAAGTTTTACATTTGAATAAATGACGTCATAAAGGGACTTCCCCTATAAAGAATTTAGAATAGTAGGAAATGACCAGAAAGAAAAAAAAAACGATTTCCTTTTCCCCTCCTTCTCTCTTCTCCCTCCCTCCCCTCCCCCACCCCTTACCAACACGTACGTCTTCTAGAGACTGGAAAGTTTGGCGCCGTCTCGGTGATTCCCCCTCCCAAATACATTTATACATTATATGCAAAACGTATAAAATATATATTTTTTTTAAATTCGTATTGAAAGCGGCGGTGAAAATTTCAGTTAATACGCAAACAATAATCATTTCTTACTCTATGAAATTTCAATTAAAAAAAAAATTTATATGGATTAACGCATAGCAAATTAAATGGCGGAATAAAATAACGTTTTTTTTTTTTGTTCTCTCCCCGCCCCCCTTTTAAAATATACCTTGTTATAAAATAAATTTACCTTACCTGAATAATAATAATAATAATAATAATAATAATAATTAACCGTCAAACATACGATATAATTATTAATTTAATAAAAAATAATTTTAGTATTAATTTACTTAAATAAAAAATTAGTTATTCGACGGAACCGATTGTAATTGTTAACAATTAAAGTTGCACGTATGATTCTTAGCAAAAAAAAAAAAATAGCAGACGAAATCGAAAACCTAACAATAGAAACAATTTATTTGTATGTATAATCTTCTTGAGACACAAAGAAAATACTAAAAACGTTGAAAAACCAACTAACTAACTGGATAGCCAGAAAAAAAAAAAAAAATTAAGATAACCAAAGCGTTGAAATAAAACTTATTCGCACATTATAAAAAGAACATACTTCCAACGTTTTTCAAACGGATAAAACAAACTTTTTAAATTAATTTTTTTTTTTTTTTTTTTTTTCAAAGGGGAAGCACGTGAGAAGTTAATCAAATCATGAAATCACAAAATGGTAGCTTTCTCAATGGCTGACTAATTGTTTGTTTCAAGATCAGAATAAGAAAAAAAAAAAAACTTTAACTTCGATTAGTCGGGTAGACTTACCGTCGGACAAACGGCGCCATAAAAAAAAAAAAAAGTTTCACCGGAAAAAGGAAACGGAATTTAAACGATAACTGAGAGATTAAACATTAAAAAAAAAAAAAAAAAATTACAGCAAAAATAATCTTTTAAATATTTATAAAAAAAATTATAAGCTCAACATAATTAATATTAAGATATTATTTTTTTGTTTTCTACAATCCCGTCCGTATAACTTTTTTAAAAAAAAAAAAAGTTAAATTGTAGAAGCGGAAATAAAAAAATCAACCTTGAAATTCAATAAAGCCAACCAAAAACGTATTTTCCTTATGGTTTAAGGCCAAATTTGAATTCAACGCTTTATAATTAATTCCCCTTTATTTTTTTTCTTATTTTTCAAATTTAAAATAATTAATACAAGTTATTATAAAAAAATAAAATAATTTATTTTTACCTTTTATTTTATATATAAATGATGTCAACATTATTATTATTATTAAAAGAAAATAATTTAAAAGAGAGAAAAAAAAAGAAAAGAAAAAAAAGGCGTGGTTTAGCGAGTGTTAAATACGTCACACATACGTCACAACACCTGAAGCCTGACCTACTCCACACACACACACCTCTCTCTCTTTCTCTCTCTTTCTTATTTTAAATCAAAACCTTATATGGTGATATTATATGCTTTTCTATACCAAAAATGTCCCTTTGTAGGAAATGCTTATTAAAAATAAAGAAAAGAAAAAATATTTAAACTCCTAAAACAAGTATAATTGAATTAAAAAAACCAGACAACAGGCTTTAGTACCACCATAATTAAACGCAGTAATCAAATAATATTTTTTTTTTTTTACTTTTTTAATAGAAAAGAAACCCAATTTAGAAAAATATATATTTAAAAAATATTTCAAGGTTAATAATTCAAGGGAAAATTGTGATTTAAGTTAGCAAATAGTCAATTTTGTCACGCATTCCCTCAAAAATAACAAAAAACAGATAACATTTTCTACAATTTAATGTCAGTCACCAATGCTAAAATGAAAATAAATTAAAGAACCAATAATTAATTACGTTTCAATTAAAATAATAATAATAATAATAGTCAAATGTTTCCACCATTTATTTTTAGTATCACTAAATAAGTTCTAATAAATAATTTTTTTTTTTTTTTTTTATTGAGGACACAATAAACTCGTGTAAGTTTGTAATGACTTCATATCACAAAATGTTTTGTCTATCGACGGTTTCCCAACACGATTAAATAATAATTATATTATTATTATTATTATTATTAACCGGCATAAAACGTTTTTACAATAAATAAATAAATAGTATTTAAATGATTTTTATTTAAATTGTCGTTAAAGAATAAGAAAACCATATGTTTTCGAAAACAAATAAAAAACACTTTCATTTCCAATATGGCGACGACATCTATAATCGTTTCATTTTAACTAAAACCCGATTAATTATTATTATTATTATTATTATTATTATACGAGAATATTTAATTTTTTACATAAAAATAAAAAACTGACGAGTGAAAAAAAAATTCTTCTTATTCTTTTTTTATTAAAATTTCAATGCGTTTAAATACTATTACGTAAATATTATTATTAATACGTGATATTTAAAAAAACAAGTAGTCAACACATTTTATTTACGTAATTAACTCTTTATTTTATTATTATTATTATTATTAATTTTTCACGTATAGTATCAAAGTTTATAATAAAAATGTTTTTCAATAATTATGCCGTAAAAAAAAAATCATTGCTTATCAATCAATATTATAAATTTAATTGATTGATTTCATCAATTATTTAACGTTTATGTAACGTTAATATGCGAATGTTACAATAATAATAATAATAATAATAACGTGTCATTATAATCGTATTAAGGTTACTAATATAATAAAAAACCGAATCGGAAATTTATCAATTAATTTATTTATTTATAACTTACCAATTTTTTGCTTGGCAATGTTAAATCGTTATACATAGTAAACAAATCCTCTCTAATAGGATCCAACAATGGCGGTCCTTCTGGTACCAAACGAGACATTAAGAATTTTTTTCTTTTTTTTTTTTTAAAACTTTAGAACTTTACAACAAACCGATATCACTATATAAAATAACCTCACTTAAATTATACGATTTATTAAACTATTACTACGATATTAAATATAAATAAATAATAACTATCAAATGTGTTATTTAAATAATATATTTAAAAAAAGAAAAAATATTTTAAAAACTCTATGACTCGACCACTAACAGCTATGTTCAGTTTCAAACTGAATTTGAGCGGTTATCACAATTTAAGTTTCGCAAGGTCGTTAATGTAATCCGCCAAACCGTAAGAAAATCCCTCTTTTCGTTTTATTTTATTTACACGTTAAATCGTCTTAGGTTCCAAGAAATTTCACTAGTTTTAACGTTAAAAAAAATTGAACTTTTTTTCCCTGAGTTAAACACCGTCGAATACATTTTTTTTACGATTCTCAAAAGTCAATTATAGAGAAAACTGACGTCATTTTTATTCGCTACAAAAATTATTTCTTGGAAATCGACAAAGGTTGAAATGATTCATACCTAATTTATTTTAAATTATTCACTCTTTTTTTTTAAAAAAAAAAAAAAAAGGAAGCACTTTTTTAAAATAAAAAATTTAATACGAGTATTCCAGTTTTATTACAATCAAATGATAAATTTTGGAAAAAAAATTAACCTAACTGAAAAACACCTACGAAATTATTC